AAGGACTAATAAAATAATAGAGTTAGTTCTTATGAGGTTTATTTATTATATTGGGTCTAAAATTAGAGGCAAGTGCACATATAGCCGTTTCAGGAATGCTATTTAGGGATTATTCAGTATTTATTTTGTCCTGAAATTTTAAATTAAAAATCTTAACTTCAGGACAACTCAGGAAATTTTTATCCCGAAACATTAAAATTTAGAACGCACTGGCTAATGCCCATATAACAGCCCTTTAGAGTGGCTACCTGCTGCCATGTGACTAAGAGGTCACAGGTCGAGCCGTGGAAACAACCTCTTGCAGATATGTAGAGTAAGTGTCACGACCCGGATTTCCCACCCTCGGGAGTCGTGATGGCGCCTACTAATGAGAGCTAGGCAAGCCAAATTTAATTACTTTTTCATTAATACCATAATCCTTGTTTAACAATTATCGGCAATAATGTAAAAGCAACGAAATTAAATAATAAGCGGAAGTCCTAAATTATAGAGAAAAAAAAACTGAATAGAAATGCGAAAAATTCACATAAGCCTCTACCCAAGACTGGTGTCACAATACTCACGAACTACTAAGAATACTAAATACAATCGTCTGAAAGAGAACATAAACTGTTTGTCTCGAATACAATGAGATAACAGACTAAAATAAAGGATAGAGGAGACGCCGGGCCTGCGGACGCCTGCAGGGCTACCTCGATGTCTCGCTGGACTGAAGGCCTGCTCCCACACTACTGTTGCTGCTGCCCGAAACCTGGATCTGTGCAAAATAGCACAGAGTGTAGCATCAGCACAACCAACCCCATATGCTGGTAAGTGCCTAGCCTAACCCCGACGAGTAGTGACGAGGCTAGACTGGACTACCACATAAACCTGTGCAATTATATATATATACAGCAGAATCGAAATACAAGGCAAGTAAAACAATGTGGGAGGGGAAGCATGTTGTGGGGAGATAACAATTTCAAATATAAATGGACTAACACTAAGGAAAAGCACAACTCATACACAATGAAGAACAGAGATCAACAAATGCACGGCATCACCCTTCGTGCTTTACTCTCATCCTCACCAAGAAATAATATAAACAAACGTGCACGGCATCACCCTTCGTACTTTTACTCTCATCCTCACCAAGCAATAATATAAACAAACGTGCACGGCATCACCCTTCGTGCTTTTACTCTTATTTCTCACATATAATCAATAGAATAGGCACGGAATGGCACATCGTGCGGCACGACATCACCCTTCGTGCTTTACACTCTTTCCTCACAAGAACAAACAATGCACGACATCACCCTTCGTGCTTTAACACTCTTCCTCACCCAAACAACAATCACAAACAAGGGCAAGGGAATAATAAAACAAGAATATAAGTACCGGCAAGGGTACACAACAACAATTTAAAAACCCGGCAAGGGTACAACACCAATAACCTACAACGTCCCGGCAAGGGAATAAATCATTAACTCTTTTCTTTCTTTCACTTTTATTTCATAGTTCACATTATCACTTGAGCCAACGCTCCAAAGAGTTACTTATCTCATATACCTTCACAATTTGTATTTCAACCCGAGCCAACGCTCCACGAAGTTTCAAGATCACAATTTCTTTCACAAGGTCCTTGCAACACTTATAAGTCATCAATTAAGCATGGAAGGCATACCAACAACCAAACTATTCGCAAAATAAGGACTCACGGTCATGCTAGACACCAATGTATAGATACTCGTCACCATGCCTATACATCGCACTCGACAATTAGCAAGTATCAAATAAGACTCAACTCCTATTCCCTCAAGCTAAGGTTAAACCAAACACTTACCTCAACTTCCACGGCCAAATCAATCCACAACAACCGCTTTCCCTCTCGAATTCGACTCCAACTCAATCAAATCTATACAATAATGACTTCATAATATCAATATATGCTAAACAAATCAAAGCCAATGTCTAATTATAGATTTCCAAGCTTTCTTTCCAAAAATCCCAAAATCGCCCCCGGGCGCGGTTGGTCAAAATACAAGGTTCGGACCAAAATCAAATCCCCCATTCACCCACGAGCCCGAATATATAATTTGTTCTCAAATTCGACCCCAAAGCGAGGTCTAAATTAAGAAAAAGTAGAAAGCCCTAACTCTACCCATTTCCCCCAATTTCTACCCTAAATTACATGTTTTAGGCTTAGGAATTCAACAAATATTGATGGATAATGAAGAAAACGAGTTAAGATTTACTAACCCAAGAAGTGTTGGTGAAAGAGAGCTTCAATGGATGCCTAAGGACCTTCGAGAAGAAGGAGCTCGTGTGAAACTTATGAAAATCCCGTCACTGTTCTGTTTTGGAATTAAATATAACTGGGCAAAAATTGCCCTTCGCGTTCGCGGAAAGAGGGCCGCGTTTGCGAAGGGTAAACTTGGCAAGGCATCGCGTTCGCGATGGGAAGGCTGCGAACGCGAAAAGGAAAGGCTGGGGGTCCAGAAATTTGGTCTATGCGAACGCGTGGGACCACACGCGATCCCGATGAAGGGAGGCCGGGAAACTACGCGAACGCGGTCCAGTGTATGCGAATGCAGTGAAGGAAATACTCAAGGCTTCGCGAACGCGGAAGAGGCGTCGCGAACGCAAAGAAGAATTTGTCTGCAACAGCTGAAGCTCAGTTTCTGATATTTTTCTAAGTTTGAAACCATCCCGAAACACTCCCGAGCCCTCGGGACTCCTAACCAAACACACACACTAACTCAACAACATCCTACGAACGTAACCGTGCGATCAAATCACCAAAATGACATCAAAACAACGAATCAAACCTCAAAATCACAAGTTTTTCTTCAAACTTCATAAACTTTCAAATTTAGAGTTTTAAGTCTGAAACACGTCAAACGACGTCCGTTTTCAACCAAACTTTATAGAAAGCGCTTAAACCATATATAAGACTTGTACCGGGCGCCGCAACCAAAATACGGGCCTGATACCATAGTCTTTTAATCAAATATCATTTCCAATTTTCTTAATTATTTTCAGAAAACAATTTCACACAAAAATTCATTTCTCGGGCTTGGGACCTCGGAATTCGATTCCGGGCATACGCCCAAGTCCCCTACGGACCCTCCGGTACCGTCAAATCACGGGTCCGGGTCGGTTTGCCCAAAATGTTGACCGAAGTCAAATTTAATATCAAAATTTAGCATTTTCTCACAGAATTCATATTTAAGCTTTCTGGCTACGCGCCCGGACTGCGCACGCAAATCGAGGCAACCCTAAATGAGGTTTTCAAGGCCTCGGAAGCACGGAATAAATAGGAAAACAGGTGATGACCCTTTGGGTCGTCACAGTAAGGTTGCGTACAATAGAACCTTGTGGTCCGACCTTTCCCTAGACCCTGCGCATAGCGGGAGCATAGTGCACCGGGCTGCCTTATCTTTTTTTTTTTTTTTTAATTTTTTTTAGAGTGGCTACCTGATGTCATTTTTACCTAAAACTAGCTTCCATAAAAAAGACTAAAATAATCTCTCATTAAAATGTGTTAAGAGGAATATTAAAGTGAGATTTGGTGAGAAGTGATAGAATGGAAAACTTTTACAATGTGCCTCACGCAACTTATTTAAATGAGGTATCCTTTATTTTAAAGATGTCAACTTTCCAGTGACATAGATAGAGAGTAGGTCCTACTTGATTTTAAATGAGATTATTTACGTTTATCTTTAAGGGTGTCTACACATAATTAAGACTAATTAAATACCCCGGTAATTTAAAATAGTGTAGTCTACGATTACAACACTATAAAATTTTGCGATAAGTTATACTTCTAGTTTAGAGGTAGCTTTCATAGAAGAATTTTATTCAATGTTTTTTAGTTACTTGGAAGTTTCTTTCTCTTCTTTCTTTTCTTATACTATATTTTCTTTTTTTGTTTTAATCACCTGATATTCAAACTCATTATCTTTTTAAGTCAAATTTATGTTGTATAATTTATTAAAGGGGATTAAACGTTCTTTATCGATTATTGCCAGGGATTTTGAGCCAAAACGCCAAATTTATTTCTCTTCTTTCTTTTTCTAAGATTTAATCATTGTTGTACAATGCTTATTGATCCGATTAATCTGAATTATACTCGGACTAAGTAGGCCTATTAAAGAGGTAAAATGTGTTATTGAAAGGTTATCCATTTTCTGGGATGTTCAATTCAGAAATTTTAGCAATTTCAGACATCGCACAACTGACATATTATAAAATATATTTATACAATCAGATAAGTATATTTCTCAATAAAAACTAGTTGATTATTTGATAAAAATAATAATTAACATATTATAACATATGAAAATTTATCGATAGTATAAAAATTTGCACTATCAATATATGTAGCTTAAATTTGGGAGAAATTCAAAAATAGCCAGATTTAGTAGTAGTATTCAAAAATAGCCACAGTTTCAAAAGTAATCGAAATTTAGCCATTTTTCATGTAAATATAAATCTGAACGAAAACATTTTTCAAAATCCGAAAAAATACTCCAGTATAATATACTGGAACTCCAATATAATATACTGGAATTTCAGTGTAATACACTGATCCAGCATAATATACTGAAACTTTCCGCGTGTTGGAGTTTCAGCATAATATGCTGGAAGTTCATATACAGGTGCACCGATCTCCAGTATATGATGGTGGAACTTTTCGTTTTGCAATAAAATAATAGTTATTTTTCAATGAGTTTGCAAACGCTGGCTATTTTTGAATGACCAGTCCAAAAACTAACTAGCCCGTGCTATTTTAGCTTAATTCTGTCTATAAATCGTGCCTCATTGTCAGCTTGGCTTAGCAACTACAGCTGGACTCTAACCCATTACGCCACGTCCCCCCCCCCTTCCCTCCTCTTCTTTTAAACCGCTCTCTTCCCTTCCAAATTATCCAAACTCCAAAAACCAATATCTTAGCTCAAACACAGCTCTTCTTCTCACTCCAAATTACAGCTAAATTAAACAGAAAATTTTCAAAAATGGAGGGATTAATTCCATTTGTGTACAAAGCAATAATAGATTACAAAAATACTACTAGACAAGGCGGAATGACTAGTGAATCGCCGTTGGGTTCTTACATGAGACTTCCTGGCGATTCGGGTCGGTTCGAGATGTCGGATATACAGCTATTCGGGTCGCCCGATAACGGATTTTCAATGAAGTCTTCAGCTTCTTCAACTAGTACTGCCACTAAGAGAATGGTCCCCGGCGGATCACCGGCGGCGAGGTGCCACTGGATTTCTACTCGTGCTGTTAACAGATAAAAAGACATAGTTGGAAAATGGTCAAAAATCTTCGGTTAATTTCTTTATCTGTGGTTTGGGTAAAAAATATAAACTTTGCTATAAGAAAACCAATAGCAAAGTTATAATGAAGTCAAATATGGTGGGTATTTTATGATAGTAACAAAACGGTTAATTTCTTTTTTAATGTTTTTTCTTTTTTTTCATTTTATGTAGTTTTAAGCTTTGTGGAAGTAATTAAGTGTAAGAATAACCCAAAAGGGACCTTACATTTATGTCATGCTCTTATGTGAAAATTCAAAGTGTATATTATATTGGGTAATATATTAGTGTTTGTTTCATAATTAAGTTGTCTTATTGATTCTAGATATGTATTTTTCATGTGAAATTTTATTAGTGTTTGTGTGATAATTTTTTCATAATTAGTGGCCAGAAAAGCCAGCTTAATTTTGTTTTTCTCTCTAATTGATGTTAATTTTCAACATTTTATGTTCTTGATTCCAGAAGTCTTTTCTCCCCTTGTAAAATACTGCAAACTGTAAGTAAAAGCTTATGTCATGTTTAAAAATTTGATACGAAATATAGCGGTTTGTATATTTGACTTTACAAGCAGGGGCGTATCTAGGTTCCACGAGGCACGTGAACCCATGCTCTTCGCCCTAAATCACGTATAGTAATGTTATATTTTTTTCAACAATGTTTAAATATATGTTTGTGCACCCATGCTCAAAATATTATATGATGTGATGGTTATTGGATTTATCTCTTTAGGTAAGGTTGTGAGTTTAAATTTTATGTCAATCTTTTTTTTTTCTAGAAGTAGACGCTCACGGGAGATGAGCGTGTCTGATGTTATTTTTTGCGCATTAATTAAGTACTTTTTTTTTCTGTTTTTGTTTTGTTTGGTTGATTCTTTCAAATTTGCACACATTGAAATTCCTATTCTTCTTTTGTCGCTATAAAATCTTATATGATTCAACAAAATGTGTATATTAAAATTAGTAGCATTATATGATGTAGCATATAGTTAACGGGTTCAACTGATCTCAATATTTTCAACATGGAAAATAGATATAGATGTAAGAAAATTACGATTTTTTAAAAATAATAATTTTGAACTTATAATTCCAAAAGTGCAATGGATATGCAATCGTAAGAACTAAAGGTTGAACCTATAAAATTTATATTCTGGATTCACTTTTTCTTAATAGTGTATTCATCCTGCCAAAATCCTGGATCTGTCGCTGTTTACGAGTTAAATTGGAGCTCTGATTATAAAGAATATGGTATTTATTATAAATTGTGAAAATAATCTTTTCATTGGTTTTGACCAAAGAGATTGAGTGCTAAAAATGCTAAAAGGAAATAAACAATAAAAAAAATAAGGAAAAAGACAATCTAAATATTTTCTAAATTGTTTTGCTTTCTTTTTCTTTTTAACAGCACATGATCTGTTCATTAATTTTGCCTTGGTAAAAGCCCATGCCTCGACCCTCTTTTTCCCGTGAAATCACCTTTTATTTCGAATCTTGAGCATGATACATAAAATGATAAATGGGAAATTTTTATTTATTGTTCATTTTTGTATCAGTAATATTGGAGGCAAAAAGAAATGAAAAAGGAACTGTATCAGCAGAAGACAAATACTACTGATTGGTAAGGTGACTCTTGGAGTTTGGTTAAATTTTTTTAAAAAGAGTTCATGCAAAAAGAAAAAGTCAAGCTTTTAATAGAACTCTTTTTTAACCAAACGCCCAAAAAAAAAAAAAAAAATCGTTCAATTTTTAAGAAAACGTCAAAAGCTTTCTTACTTTTGGTTGAAAAACATTTTACGCACAAAAAACGAGGAAAATAGTTCAATTTCATTGTTTTTACTTAACTTAAGAGTTAAGAGAAGGAAAAAAAAAAATTCATTTCCAAGAATGTTTTCAAAAGAAACACTGAATTTTTATTCGCAAGATCTTTGTATACAGTCGAAATCGGGCTCGTCTACTACATGACAGATCAGGCTCGAAACATGAGGGATTGAAGACCGACCTCGATTCTCATCGAACCAGAACACGAGGTCAGAACGTCCGTCCTCGAGAAAATTGAGTCCATGACCCCGGAACCAACCCTGACCCCGAACAAGTTCGGGGAGATATTGTCTGTATAACCAACAGGAGACCGAAATAACAGAAGGCCGAAATATTCGTGACCGGTCGAATATTACGGCGGGAATCTCTGCACGTATCATTAAGGAACCGGCAAATCGAGAGATTTTTACCTTTTATAGAATTGTATCTAAAGTAGAACTCTCCTACTATATAAATGTGGTCTGATTACTTGTAAAACACATCGTAACACGCACAATATAATATTTTTTTTTTTCTGTAAGCCACTGTTCTTCTGTATCTGATATCGTTTGAATTGCATTCAGTTCAAGTGGGAGTTACATTTCAAGGTTACAACTGTTCAAGTCGCACGGTTTGAATTTATTTTATCATTGTTCGCTTTAATTACAATTCAATTTATTGCTTCGTGTCTAATTAATCCACCTATCCTTAAAACCACTTACAAATTCAATTGTTACCCGATTTTTAGGGTAAACAATCTCTTCATCGAATTTTTGAAGCAAATTCCTTCCGTTGATTCAAAAGTAATGCCCCATCTAGTGTAAAGGGTGAATTGTTGGCCAGTCGCAAGTTTTTTCCCTAGGGAAAATGGTCAAAAGGCTCTTCAATTATGAGAAATAGAACAATTTTGTCCTTATTCTGAATTTGGTCTCAAATCTCCCCTTATCATTAGTGGGCTAGCACGTGTTTTCCCCTTAAAACTAACAAACTTCCAATATCTTATTTTTAAAAATTTATAAATAATTATCTTAAACCCAAAAATATATGATGAAATATTTTAACAAAGAAATTACATAAATCCAAAATGATTAAAAATAAATTATATCTAACTGCTCATCATATTCATGTCTTTTCGACTTTCCCCTATTAAAAAATCTTTACTCTTCTAAAGCTTAATAACAATTAAACATAACATAAATACCAGAAAATCAAATAATTTATCATGAAAAAATAAATATTTTTCAAGGACCCAATACCAAATTGAAATTCTTAAATCAATTAAAAATAATTGAAAGTAAATAGAAAAATTGCAGGGAGTATTATGTACACTTAACAAAAAGTTTTAATCTTGCTAAAGAAATTGTTGCCATACCAAAAAGAAAAAAGTTAATAAAATATTAATTATATTTATGTTGAAATAAAGTTATACATATAGTCATAATTATGTAAACAATTAAAAATATTGGTCATTACAAATGATGCCGTGTAGGCATCCAAGACGCTAACCTTATGTAAATTTGTTATGTTATAATATTGCCTATCTTTCCCACCAAAAAAAAAAAAAAAAAAAAAAGAAAGAGA